TTCGGTTTCGGTTAAGAGTCTTAGTGTAAAGTCCGAGTAAGACTCCGGTAATTCTTAAGTTTGATGTAAGTTATTTAATTAATAATTATTAATTAACTTTTATTCGATCGGATTAAAATTAAAGTGTTATACTTTTTGACGAGTCGCTCCTCTCAATATGATCGCTTTAACCCTTGGTAAGTCGTTAATGTTTTATTTCATATATTAACTTGTAAAGATTGTAACTAATTGCTTTGGCTTCTTCTGATTTGGTATAAACCTACGTAATATTCGATGTTATTTTTGAATTATTCATTTTATTAAATTGATCATTTTGTAATTGTTGAACTTAGATATTTTTTGATGTTTTTGATTAAATTGCTTATACAGATTTTCAAGTAAAGTCAGGTAAATTACTAGATTAAAATTTCTCTTGTTAATCAATATAAAGTTTTCGAGTTATTTTTGTAGCTAAATTTTGTTCGTTCCAATTTATTTTAACTTTAATTCTGTTTATTAATTTTAGGTAGTATTTTATTTCTTTGCTATTGTTTTCGTTTGATTTCACTCCATTAAATTTGTTATTTAAATTTGACTTGATTTCTTTTATTATATTTCATTTAACTTTGCTCCCTAAATCCAAGCCGGCGTGACAAGGTTCTGCTTGTCGCATACGCCTTTAGCACGCCCACACAACAAAGTAAGAGCCGCTCCTTACAGAATAAAGAAGTGAACCAGTTGAACGGCGGCCTTAAAAGAAAGACAATGATAAAAATTTCATTTAAAAACTAGTTCATCAGTGATTTGAATATGGAAAATAACTAAAATTATAATTATTTATACAAATATTCTTACTAATCATACAAATGGTTTATGAAACAAATAACTTCTATAAAATTAAAATGTATTTTAAATTATAATAAGATCTCAGTGTGAAGAAATAAGATCATAGAATACAACATTTTTAATCCATGTTAACTTTAGAGCACCAACTATGTATTGTTGTTTCACCTGCAAATAAAAACACATGGATATTAATAATAACTCAATTTTAATTAACATTTACCTGGTAATGGGTAGTTTAAACTATTTCGTAAATATAAATAACAAGGCTTGCTAAGATAACGCAATGTAAAAGCAATACTAATATCTTCATCAGTCCATCTAACTTGTTTCTTTGTTAATATTTTATCTAACTGTTTACTTGTGAATACATCAGTTAATTTATTTCTTATTATCTGATCCACCACCTTTTTGGCTTCCTTGTTCTGTTTCAATTTAAAATTACGGATAACTTGTGACAAATTATTATTTTGCCGCCTTTGTCTTAAAATAATTTTTTGTTTTCTTGTCAGTTTTCTTTTCAGTTTATAATTTTCCTCTCTCAATTGTGATACTTCAATTTGCAAATCAGAAACTCTGTTTTCAATTCCTCTGTTTGCTGAATGTGTTTCTGTACTCTCTATTTCTTCTTGGTAATCAGTTATTTCTATTTCTATATTTGCTGGAGGTACTTCCACATTGTTAATACTGCTATATGTTACCTCTTGGTAATCAATTATTTCAATATTTTTAATTGATGACTGTGTTTCTACACTCTGTATGTGGCGCTTTGTTTGTTCTTGGTGATCAGATGTTTCTATTGTGTTGTTTAATAAAATTGTTGTTATGTTACCATCCTGAACATCTTCAATGATATCAGTTATAACATGGCTATCAATTTCTTTTTGTTGATCAGTTATTGCTATTACATCTTTTGTATTATTGTCCTGAACTTCATTAATTTGGTTGTTTATTTCTTCTTTTATTTCTTATTTGGCTGTCTTCTTTAATAGCAATTTTGGTTTTAAATTCAAAAGTTCTGCTTTTAAATCACGCTCAAAGTCTTTTTCTTCAAAATGCAATGAACATACAAGAGAATGCTTTAAATTTACCTTGGGTTTGCATTTACTAATCCATTGTTTACGTAAAGATTCATTCTTTGGTATTTGAAAAAATGATATATTTAAGCCTATAACCCTGGATATTTCTTTCGTCATGCGACAACCCTCAAAAGCACAAGGAGATGGCATCTGAAATAAATATTTGTGTTCTAATCAACTCCAGCATTAAATGATATATCTATGAAATAGTATACTTGCTTTTAATTATTCATAAAAATATTAAGTAAACTAAGAAATTCCTGAAACCAAAAATATAGTAATTGTAATTTAATATAATTATTAAACAATTTTTTTGTTGTTTTTTCCGGTGAAATGACGAAGAATGAAGAGTCTAACCTAACCTTATGGTCTATTGATGTTGAGTAATAGCGCGGGTGGCGCAATCTATTAATCAAACACACCAAATATAATTTAGACAACACTAAATTTGTAAATAATTTAATGTGCTTATTATAATAATATCAACATAGGGAAATCTGAACTATAAACTCACTTAGCAATGCTTAGCAATAAGATGAAGGTACACGGCGATATCGTCAAAATATTGAGATTTCGTAAAGAAATCTGTATAAATTAGTAAAACAAAGCTTTGCCATCCGCCTCGTAGATGGCGCTAATCCCTAAAATAAATTCTTTTTTTAAATGCTGTTTACTAAGCGGTTTTCGGATATTATATCATATTATGTTTAAAAAACAATATCAATCCAAACTAAAAAGCGAAACATAGTAACATAAATAAACTTTTGGTAATTCGCGACGGTAATGAAAGCTATAACAGTACTCAAACGGGTCAATCGGATGCTGCAATGAGACTCCTTACAGCATCCGATGCTGTAATGAGATTTTAGTAACATTTTATGGAACTAGTTCATGTTGGTATCATTGGGGCATTAATTTTTCTAGTTGTCAATGTGATAATGTTTGTCTATGGATGTTTAAATACGTTCTTAACATCGAATACAAGGTCCACATTGAACTCTGAGCAATTTCTCTTATTTTGGGAGGTGTACATGAAACATGTTTCCCAGGTGAATACATTTTGTGTTTTGACAGTTTCTAATTGTCAATTCAAATTTCTATTTTCAAGTGTTACGGTGTTACCAACTGCTACATACCTATTTTCCTACTTTGTCAAAATTTATTTTATTTTTGAGAAAAAAAAAGGATAGAAACGAGAATTACAAAAAATAGCATAAAAAACACGTTTCATAAGACTTAAAGCACTCATTCATTAAAAAACTCGTGGCTTCGCCACTCGTTTTTCAACTTGAATTCGTGCATTTCAAGCGTGTCTTACGAAACTTGTTTTTTAATATACTATTACGTTCTGTTGACAAAAAACTATCGTTTTGACGGTCGCTAAGT